CACTACGCTATCCAGCTGCTATATATATAGTATATGTGTATATGTGTGTATGTATATGTGTGTATGTATGTTAGGGCTGCCACGATTTGTCGACTAGTCACGATTACGTCGACTATCAAAATCGTCGACGACTGATTTAATAGTCGACGTGTCATTTGAAGCTTTGTAAGATCGCAAAAGACGCAGGAATAATAGCAGGATTTAAGAGTGTAATAACGGACTGAAACAGAAGATGGCAGCACAGCATGTACAAGGATGCCAGCTGCCGTTAAACCCCGAAGAAGAAGAAGCAGCTGTGTCCCAGAATTCATAGCGCGGCCCAGCTTAGTTTCCAACAATGGCGGCAACTAGTTAGTTTTAATATTACTCTTATTATTCTTTCTGGGTCACAAAATAAACGTTTAACATATTTTCAGGCGAGAATGTAGCTGTGTAAACCTCAAATATCTGCTCAGTTTATCAGGACACCACATATTTTCAAAAGCGCTCCGACGTTTTCGGAGACGTCTGTTACCCACTAGCTCGATAGCTAGGCGGGGGCAAGGCTAACTAGAGCCGTGAGAACACCGGACTCCCGGCAAATTGTTTTCAAACCCACCGCCGTGTGTGTGTGTGTGTGTAACGTGTGTGTGTGTGTGTGTAACGTGTGTAACGTGTGTGTGTGTGTGTGTGTGTGTGTGTATAACGTGTGTGTACACACATCATAATAATCTGACAGTACTATAATATTGGCCATATTATATTTACATTGCCACAGTGAGTTGACTTTAGTCTCATGAACAACATTAGCTAATTGTTATTTACTAACTAATCTTAAATGACTGTTCAGCACAGAAATGAAGCCCAACAATCATGTTTTACAGTCCTGTGGTCTCAGCCTCAGATACTCAACTAAAGTGATGTCATGACAAAAATGAATGACCAACAAAACATTTTTCTCCTTCATTTCTGTCAAACAAAGCTGTATGTGGTTGCTAGGCAACCTGAACAGTGCGACGAAGCGTATGCCGTCCCATTTCACAAGCCTCTCACTTCCGCACTTCTCGTACTTATAGTACGCACCGTACGTAGTACGCGTAGTGCGCGTACTTCAAGCGTGCAGACCCTGGGACACAGCCGATGAGGCCTCCTTTAGCAGGTCGTTTGAACCTTGGAGATAATTTGGTACTTTTGCCTCTGCTCCACACCACGCTGGATTTAAAATCAAACAGTCAACATGTGACTGAAGTGCAGACTTTCAGCTGTAATTTGAGGGGTTTTACAAAAATATTTCATCAACTATTTAGGAATTAAAGACATTTCTTTCACGCGCAGTCAGACGCTCAAAAGTATTCGGGCAAACTAACAATATTAAGTATAAATGCTGCTTTTAATACTTAAAGATGTGTGAACCAGACAACCACACACACTCACATTAAATCAGGCATTGCTGTGAGGTGTCAGAGCTAACCACCTGCTACTAAACGTTCCCACTAATGTGGTGTTTGTGTCCGATCTACTGCTTCTATGCATTTTTTGCCTCCTCCTTGAGAAAAACAACCCCACGATGATGCAAACGAGCTTGGCTTGCCTGGCTTGATTTTCTTCATACACACGTTTCCTAAAATCTGCTGCGTAATAATGATTTGTGAAACCTGTGCAAATGTGGGTTTATTCGCAAAATCTTTGTGAACATTTCAGCACAGAGGGTTTTTTTGTTTGTTTTTTTATATCTTGCAGTACATAGCTCAGACATACAGGAACACTTTTTAATCAGAGTGTAGCGTAGAGTCAGTTAAACTTCTGGGATATTGATCTGGTCGGTGATCTATCAGTTGTTAATCAGTTTCAGCTGGATTATCAACAGGCGCACTAGAGGGGCAACAATGAGACAACTCCCAAAACAGAAATGGTTACGCAGATTAGTGAGCTGCCCTATCCTACAGCCTACAGTGTCATTGCCAGGTTTGCTGTGTCTCGACTAGACTGCAGGAGACAAGCGGTTACTCTAGGAAAGCCGGACAGGCCTGGAGAAGGTCCTTAGCAGGATCGGTATCTGCTCCTGTGTGACAGGAGGAAAAGCATGAGCCCGGTCAGAGCTACAAAATGAGCTCCAGCAGGCCGCCGGTGCAAATGTATCTGACCAAGCAACCAGAAACAGATCTCATGAGGGTGACCTGAGGTCAGGGAGAGCATCTCGTTAGGTGATGTGCTCCTTTAATCGTTCTGAGCAGCTCTGTGGAACGGGAGGCCGTACTCCGTTGTGCAAAACAAGGGGTTTAAACTATGATGAACGTGCTTGAGCAACGCTGTGATATCCCGTTCGTGTCCACTTTAGTGGCAAGATCGTTCCAAGCATGTATGAGCAGGATTTAAGTTATGGCTGAACTGTCCCAGGCATCTTCTGTTGGCCTAACTACTACAAACGGGTGGATCTCCAGGGCTACGTGACCGCTCATTATATCACAGCGGACTGCGATATAATGAGCGGTATGTATTATTGTAGGGTCTACCTTACAATATAAAGCGCATTGAGGCGACTGTTGTTGTGATTTGGCGCTTTATAAGTAAAATTGAATTGAGTGGTAGATACAAAGACCTATACTGCCCTATATTGTACCTTTTTTCTTTTTATAATTGCATGGAATGAGTTTTGTCTTCTTTTTTTGCTGATCCGAAAATTTATCCGATCCAAACCGTGAGATTTTTTGATCCGTTGCACCACTAGTGATGAAACACCAGTTTTGGTTAAAAACTTCACGTTCAGGATTAAAAGATATGTGCGCTCTGACACAAAGAACATTTTTCTGTTTTCATTGGTATGACGTGACCTCCATGGTCGTGGACAGAAGCTCGAGGTCCTTCTGTGGGTAATGATCATAAGAAGCTCAGGTAATCAGGATTTACCACACAGATCACACTACAGCTTCTGCTTTTGCTTCATCAGCTTTATTTAGCTCAAGAATACATACAGGATAAAGAGTAAAAAGAAAAGAAAACAGTATGCAACCCCTCTCCCTCTGTGTAAATCATCAGGGGGACATAATGAACAGATCCTGCGTGACGGTAACAGGCCAAACAATGTTTTTCAGCGGGTGAGAAAAAGGCACAGACAGCTCTAGAAGAGGTAACACGTTTGAGATAAAATGGCAGTTTTACAGGGGACACACAGACAGTTCGTAGTTTGCAGATAACGTGTGGAAAAGTAAAAATGATTGTGGCCAAATGAAAACAATCCTCAACATCAAAATCACAATATTTCATCAAACACTGCAACTGAAGGATGCAAGCCTACTTTCAACTCATTTAATTTGAGGTAAAATTTGTTAGAAGTCATAAAATTTGATCTTAAGGACAAAAAAAACAAACTAAAACTAAATTCTAGTGTTTCATCACATTTCTACCAGCATATAAACAAGCTTACTCTACTGATGCTTTAACTAACAATAATGGAAAGATAAATCGATTATAGAAATATATATATACACGTTTATATATATTCAAAACCACGATAAAAGGAAAAAGCAATACCCATTAAATTTGCTTTTTTTTTTTTTTTTTTTTGGCCTTTGACCACACCCTCAGCAGGTTATCCACGGCTATGCGTCTGAAAGCCAATTGATCACCTCACATTAGCTTGTAGAGTGTAAGAGAAGATGAAGCGCACAGACCGGGCACCTCGGGATTAAAGATTAGACATCAAGAACAATCTGCGACGAAGAGCGACTCAGGATCTGAAGAGAACGCTGAAGTAAAACTATCAGAACTTTCTAGTAATTGCATCATTTAATAGAAAGAAAAAAATGTTTACAAGTGTATAAAAAACACATAAAAATATGCCACTGAAATGACATGCCACTGATTTCGCAAGTTTGTTTCTTTTTGTTTATTTCTGAGTAAAGTGGAAGAGCGAGTGATTTATTTTTTGTTAGTTGAGACACTGACTGAAGAAGGACGACGGTGATTTTTGCTGACATGGTTGTTCTGTACACAAATTGGATCAAACTGTGAGAAATTTAGCTGCAGAGAAACGCGTCTCTTTTTGTCTCACCGTTAAACCCATTCGGGATGATTAATCTTTCACATCGTTCGCATGAGGAAAATTAGCACCACCTGCCGTTTCCGTCAGAACGGACAGACCTCAGTGATGACTTCTCAGATTAAATCCCTGACGAAAAGTAAGTGATGATGGAGGAAAGCGAGCGCTTGAGCTGCGCCGGGTTGCGGGAAGCCAATTTGGAGCATCTTCGCTTTGACTTTTCTAGGCTCCAGAGCGGGTCGCCGGCTTGTTTCACAGTGAGAGACGGACGGGAAAAGCCAACATCAAGAGACCGTTTGGCTTCGGCTACAATCAACGATCCGATGACGAAGTGATGCAGCGTGTGTGAGTCTCGAATCTTTTGCGTGCATGTCTGTAGGTGTGTGCTCAGGATGCAGTGTTTGCAGGCAGATCCAAAGTCGACTTGCTCGTTTTAAGCGGTGAAGTCGGGCCAACTCGTGACTGGCAGGAATTCCTTTAGGTCATAGGTGAGAGAGGTGGCGAGAGGAGAGTCGGGCGGGATACAAATATGTCCTTCATCAGAGCTGCGAGACACAAAGAGAGACACTGTTAGGTCAGAGGACACTTCACAGCTGAAACTCTTAAGCTTAAGAATCTCTTGTGTGTCTCAGACCTACACAGGCAGTGATTTCTGGCTTGTTTTTAACAGCAGGAGGTAAAAAGCACCCCACAGAGTCACAAAAGGTCCCTGCAGGGGTTTGAACTAAGCACTCTTTCGCTGTGAGCTAACCACTGATAAATAAGATCTAACCTGAAAGGAGCCAGAATAGAGCAAAAACTGCCATCTGTGATGTACAGTTTATGCTCCAGACCCATCACGTTTAATACCTGAGTGAAAAAGATCACTCCCTTTACAATCCAACATTATCATAACAGGAAATCTGTAAGTAGCCTATGCACCAACATGATCAGTTATTGAACTGTGTGGAATATTTTGCCTAATTCCCAAACATTATCTCAGTATGACCACTAGATGGCGCCAAATCACCTGAATTTGGGATGGAAGTCACTCAGTGCCCGTTATCCTCTGACGTTAATTTGAAGCAAGTCTGATAATGTGAGCTGAGGTTAGAGATCTTACCTGCAGTGTCACACAGTCCTTGCATGCCTCCTAAGACCGGATCTCTGTCTGTGAGCAGATGGCTGCGACTCTCCGGTCCCGGGTCCATGATCAGATCTGGTTGGTCGGTTTCGTCCAGACTGTCCTGAAATTGGAGGTTAACGTGTGGTCAGGTGAAAAAGTTTGTTCTGAAAACATAATTATCATTACATAGCATCTATTAGTAGAAACCAACTAAATACTGATTTTTCAGATTTTCTAATTTGTTGTTTTTTATTAAAGGTAAAAACTGAACACTGCAACCTCCAATCAAGGCAGTGAAAAGTCATCAAGACAGAACATTTTGGATTAAACGTCTTAAAATCATCCCTCTCGGCTCTTCCTCCTCTTCCACTCACAAGTAGTTTGTGGGTGAGAAGAAGCTCCTCCTCCATGGAAGGATCCTTTTTCTGTCTCTTGTCCTGGAGCATCACTGGTGACAGCATCTCTTCAGCAGAGTCATGAGTCCTGAACGAGAGACAGACTGATTGTAAAACACGTAAATCTTTGTTTTGATGTTCAGATATAAATTTTTAGCTGTGTCTTCACCTACAATAAAAAGCTGGAACTCTACAATGTCCTGAATGGGCCACTGTACAGAGGACAAGAACACGGCCTTCTTACTGGCGCCTCCCTCAGGACAAATTTCCCATCTTGGCATAGGGCCGTTGTGCTCAGTTACAATAATGCAAGGTGAAACTTGGCTTCCTGTTTGCTCTAAGCACACCTTTGCACCAATAGTTTTATAGATAACGCTGGTCTAGCTTACCGTTTCCTGCTTGTTGCTGAAGTTTCGGAAGGTTTCTCAGCTTCCTCGGTCATACTGCTGAGGAAGGTCAGCTGGAAGTCATCGTCCATGGAGATGTACGGAGCCAACATGTCCAGGTCCATCCCCTCAATCTTCTGAGAAAATGCAGGTAGGACTGAATATTTTGCAGAAAGCGGTTGACTGAATAGTTATCAGGATGTCTTTTGTTGATGCCTCATCGGTTCGTGCTCTTACCACCGGGGTATCTTTCTTCTGGGCATCTTCTGGCCAAAAGGCGAAGAACTTTTCCACCTCGCTGGTGTCCATCACCTCTTCACTGCGGCTCTGAGATACAAACATCGATTAATGGTTAAAGGGAGGCGCAGACACTTCGACTGATGCACAAAGACTTAAGGCTGACATTTACCTGCTCGGGTTTAGGTGAGGAGCTTGGCGATGATGAAGAAGAGGATGAGGATGCAGATGGAGGAGGAGTGATGGGGTCAAAGATGGGTGCGAGGAGTTTTCTCAGCTGCGGGGTGCACAGATCCTGAGGGTGCTCGGGCACCAAGTTTGGACTGGGTGGACTGGCAAATGAGAGCTCGACAGAACCTGAAAGAGGGGGGGAAAGATCTACTCTGAATAACCACAGACGACATTTCCTCAACTGTAACATAAACGAGGCTTTTAGGTTTATATACTTAAAAAAAAAAAAAAAAAAAAAAAAGAGGGGGGGGGTTCCTCTGTTGGCCTCACCTGGACTCAGAGGTACGATGGTGTCTCCGGCATCAGGAGCCAACTGCAGCAGCTCCTCCGGCTTCTCCCGCAGCTCCATGAAGAGCTTCGCGCTGCTGCTGGAATCTGAATCCACATCTTCAACCTCAGTGGAAACAGTGCTGTCAGTTTTAGACTCACACATGTCGGCAGTCCCGGAGTCTTCATCTGCCAGTTCAACTTTAGGGATGCTACTACAGCGGGTCTGCTCCATGGAGAAAATCACATCTGGCTGCTCCACAGAGCTAAAGACGAAGAACACGATGACGTTAAAATTGGGAACAGTAAATGGGCGCACCATCCTCGCTCATGTTGCAGTTTGCGAGACAACTTTGCTGCTTTTTAAAGTACCTGAGGATGAAGTTGAGGCAGACGATGGCATCCGGCTGGGACGTTTTACTGTTGTACAACACAGTGGCCTGAGTCTCCGCCCACACGTAGCCACCGTTGTTTGCCAGGAAACGGTACTGGCTGGTGCTAACTTGACCTTTGGAGAGCACTGCGCAGTGTGGACAGAAGAGAAAGAGGATGATGATGAAGTGCCAGAGCACATTTTCACTTCATTAAAACACAAATTCTGGGAGCTCCTGGTTGAAACACAGCTTTTAATAACAGCTGCAATGTAGTAAAACCTGTGCCTCAAATACAAGCGATGGACTGATGACATATCGAAGAAACACCCTTAAACTAGTTTTATGAGCTCAGGTGGATCAAAGCCAACTTTTCTTCTCAAGCAGGCACTTTGAGGGTGAAATACGTTTAATGGAACTTAATTCAGACATTGGTTCCTTAGTATATTAGTAGTAATCAGAAATGAGGAGCAAATATTTAGGCATAAATATGTTCAAAATTAGAAGGAAAAACCAGTTTTGGACATTCATGTTGGACACCCCTCTCTTTCTCTGCCTTCATCATCTAGACGCCAAATGAGAGAATTTCTTTTGTCCCCGTGTGCTCTCTCAAATTTTCAGACTTTGTTTTAAAGGCCAAAATGCACTGAAGGTGTTCTGACGACAGCTGAGAGCCAAATACCCTGCTGAGAGTTTTATGCTGGATTTTTCTTTAATTCGTCACCCGTCCGTATATGAAAGCCGTTTAGACCCAGGTAAGCGGTGAAAATGATTGAAAATATTACACTGTTGTAACACGCAGACACACACTGACACTCACATGTGTGCAGACACACACTGACACTCACATGTGTGCAGGCTCTTGTTGATGTGATCTGAGTCGAGTGCGTGAAGAAACTCGAAGCCTGAGCGTCCAATCAAATCATCAGGTTTGTATCCCACCAGCTCTGCAACCCTGGAAACAGCGTGAGAAAAGAAAACCAGGAGTTCAGAGGTTTCTTTCCCCCTTTCTTTCGCGCTACAGTGGAATGGTATTCCTCCTGCTTCCCATCCACGGGGGGGAAGGTCAAAGGTCAAGATCGGTTACATTTTTCCGTCTCACCTGCCCTCGCAGTGGGTGAAGCGCAGGTCCATGCTGTGACGGGTGAGGAAGGTGCAAGTATCCAGAGGGAACTCCACGCTGGATGGGTGTGGGATGGGCTCACACAGCAGGGTCATGACTCTGCCTGCAGGGGGCGACGCAGAGCCGCTGCCAAAGGGACGAATGTGGCCTGTGCAGTGGAGGACCTGGAGAAAGAGGGCGAGGAATTTAAAGCAGAGTTCATCAACCAAGCACGCTTCAAACAACCGAAATAAACTTTTATTTTTGCTCAATTTCATGCTGCTTAGCTGTAGTGAGCTCCTTTTAATGAAAAGTATTCAGTTTGTGTTGCTCTGCTTTTGCCAATGTTAAATTCAGAAAGAATAAAACCTCAAATTTGAGCTGTAATCCCTTAAATGCTCAGAGGTTTTAAAAGAGTCCCTGCTCTGTGGCGCTGGAGCCAAGACACGTCAGTGCTGGAAACCCTCTGACTCTTCCAGAGGTTTTAAAATGTAAGTGCAGCACTTTAGACAGGAATGGTAACATCAAGTACACGTGAGCGCATGAATTGAAAGTAGTGTGTGTGTGTTTGAACTAGTAGGTGTACCGTTTACAGCGTGAAGGCCGGCTGCCAGCGTTAATTTGACCATATCTCTTTCAGACTGGACTTTAGCTGCATGTGTGTCTGTTGTGCCTATTTTTATGAGGACCAATTATAGCTTCAGAACTAGCCGTCCCTCACTTTGTGACACACCTTCTAAGGCCTGTTTAAAGGAGACGTATTCTGCTCGTTCCAGCTGACAATTTATTATTTTAACTCCTCTTCCTTTCTTGTGGTTGGCTGCCCATCATAAACCGAAGACCTGGGTAAAGGTGGGTGAAGCTTATGTGCTCAAAGCCAGAGGTGTGAGCTCGAGACGTCCTTATTGAAGGTAGTTTATACACCAGCCAAAAGTAAATGTGCACTGCTGTCGTTTGGGCTCGTCGTGCACCTCCCAATTTTTTTTTTTTTGCAAACAGTAAGAATGTGTTGGGGAGAGTACAAGCAATCTTCTGTTCCTGCTCGAGCCCCAAGGCTGTGATTTATTTGTTTTTCCTGAGCAGGAACACTTGTCATTTAGAAGAGGCCTGCAGCCAATCAAGTGCATGAGCCAAAAGTTCAGCTTTCACTTGTGAAAGTATATATTTACATAGGAATAAATAAGGAAGCGGTGAATACGTCCACTTTAAGGGTTAAAGACATGCTCCAGCTGGACCTGGCGGTATGAATAAAACAGAGAACATTTCTTTACAGCACTGCAAACTGCACTTTGACACTCTTGCATGTTCAGCAAGTTGGTGTATTCTAGTATATTATTACTCTGTTGCTGAGCAGTAGTTAGCTAGTAGCTGCAGTCCTACAGTTTATGAATGCAGCCTACTATTCTAAGCATTTGCACTGTTTACAACTACTTCTGGATCAAAATGCAACATGGATCCAGCCAAAACTTTAATATTGAGGCTTCTAAATAAAAACTAATAGATGACAGCATGGTAGCTGTGTCCATCTTTTATATACAGGCTATAGTTTTAATGTTAAGGCTAGTCCGAGGTTAGTCAGAGGTGAGTGAGCATATCTATCTCTATATCTATCTATGAACAGCTGTGTGTAATACAAACCTTCCAGGTGGCAGATTTGATGTTGACGGTGCGCCCCCTGGTGGTCAGTGTGCTCTTCATTCGCATAAAGAAGTTCCTCTCGCTCGTCTGTTCTGTCCGTGCCTTCTTACTCAGACCTGAAAGCAACACGACACTGTTAACGTGGGTAATTCACAGAAGTTTGTCAGGTACCAAAAACATTTTAAAAATTCAAAGAACGGCTGAGCTCAGAAAGCACACAGACGGGCTTTGCTGAGTCTTTGTGACCACAAACAAACAGAACTAATACGACAACACGCACTAAATTAACTCGTTACAATCAATCTGACCTGTAATTAAATTCTGGAGATCAAATTAAGAAGATGCTTGTCTTCTTGTCACATGACCGAACTCCAAAATAAAGGTGTCAGTGGGCTCCTGATCCCCGGCTCTGCGTGTTTACCTGGACGTGGAGTCAGCAGGTCTCTGAGCTCCTCTTGATCGCAGGGATGAACAAAGTCATAGATGCTCTGACCCAGCAGCTCCAGCTGTGGACGATAAGAAACCAACAAAACCGCTGAGTCACACACCGACAAACACAAGTATCAACTGCTACCCCTGATTTTTTTTTTTTTTTGTTAAAGCACAAACATGTAGTTTTTGAACCTGACGTGTTGGTTAAAAGTCTGTCTGTACTTTATTTTCTCTGGTGAATCAATTTTTCTTTGTGTTTAGCAGCGACTGTAATTACAGTTGACGAGGTCGGGTTAAATCGCCACCGCTGTTACAGCATGCTTCACTCAGG